TGGGGGGTTGAAACCCCCCTCAAAAGATAGATTTTTTGAAAAATATTTTGACGTGTTTCGGCGTTTTTAGAAAATTTTTTTTTCTTTCAAGTTATTAGCCCGGTCCGCGACTTAATGGACACCCTGTATATACTCGTATATAGAAAATAAATATAAAAGCTCTTTTATTCAAAAAATGTTTTGTAGAAATATAATGTAATGTGTAAAAATTAAGTAAAATAAATTTTGCAAAAATGAATTTTTAAAATTATTTATATTTTTCAAGAAAGAAAGAATTCTAATATTTGTAAAAAGTTAAAAATTTGTATATTTTATCTGTTCAATTTATCTAACACAATTTTTACTGATTAAAAGTAAAATTAATATAAAAAAATACAAATGTAAGAAAGATGCAAGAATCTTATGATCTTTTAATGTTTTAGAATTTCTTAGAATTATGAATTTTTTAAATTTAATTTGAGTAAAAATTAAATTTCAAGTTTACAATGTCAAAGGCTATTTTTTAATTATTTATTTTTTCTGTCTATCTTTAATATTAAATATAAATAGCAGTGATAAATTTTAATTCTTTTAAATTAAAGAAATTATGAATGAATGGTACTACACTGTAAGTGTTCATGAAAGTAACCTAATTTTGAAAAAATAGTGTATGAAGAGGTTTCGGATTTCAAACTTATTGTATAAAAAAAGAACATATGTTAAAGTAAAGGCAAGAGAACGAAACGAAGGATCGAAAAAGACTGACGGGAAACGTAGGCAGGGACAAGCTGTGTAGGTGGATAACCGCAAAATGGACAAAGTATTGTATATCTGTCTCGAGAGTGCGGTGACACACACTTAGTGTGAGAAGCAAAAATCGGGAACACGATATTCCACTTGGCGCGCCGGATCGTCCGTGCCATAGCATAGTATGGCGGGTTAAGAAATTGAAATCGATTTGGTGAATCTTTCGCTTCGATGGCCGTCGCAGCCGCGGCCGCTGCGTCAATGTTGGACGATTTGCCGCTAATTGAGATTAATGCCGGCCGCGAATTCTCCAAGGTAAACGGAAAGTCCCGCGTAGACGGGATAACTGCGGTGATAGCTATCTGGTACAACGGTTCGCGTTGTAACAAGACTCGTGCGTACTTAACTGCTCCTCAGAACGAGACGAGTACTGATAACTGCCACGGTGAACGTGCTGTGCGTGCCTGTGTACCTCAGTACCTGTCTGCCCGCATACCCGAGAAAGAGAATCTATCTCTTATCGAGAAAACGAACCTTTGTCGCCTTTGTCAATTTTGAATTCACTTTGCGGCGGTGATCTTTCTTCCATTCGTTAAGCGATAAAACGTATCGATGTAAAGATTGTTAATCGAGGCTTTTATTGCCGGCGAAAGCGTGAAATAGCGTGCACACATTATTCTGTATAAACGCGCACGGCCAGATGAGAGATTCAACCGATTGGCTCCGCTTCAACTAGCATCACTAGTAAAAACTTTACGCTCACGTAATTGAATTCTCTCAAAACACTGTTATGTCCCGCGCGTGATCGATAAGGCTGCGGTTATAGTGGACGGAATATATCTATGTGGGTACACCAAACTATAGATCACTCCGATGAATTTAGAACGAATATTAGAACTAATCAAATATATTGAGGGATATATATAGGTATATATATCTCCCTTGCTAATTATTTTATCAGTTTTCTTTTGTGTTACCTAATTTCGTTTAGATTAGAAAAACCGAATTAGAATCGAAAATTTTTCCAAAAGTTACATTATAAATTCCACCTTATGTTATTAATGTAACAGTGTAATGTTACACTATTAATTTGTACATATTTAGCAGAAAGTGTTTACAGGCATAATAATATTAAATTGAAATATGATAAGAAATAAAAGAATTTGCAATAATTATTAAATCATCCTAATCATTCAGAATATTAATTCTATGGCGCACATGGAAATTACCTCTAATATATTATTAATTATAAAATATTAATTATCTTGACATTGTTTCATACCTTCAATTTTATAATAACTATATTGCTTTTTCAATTTTCGAACACATAAATCTCTTCTCAATCAAAAGATATAATCGCGGCTATCGGGGCAGGATTATATGTATCTCACAGATCTGAAAAAGATTAATCGGTGATTTATTATTGGCCTAGCTTCGTACGTTATGTCCTTTCTCTTCAGACTTCGTCTCAATCCTTAGTGAACCGCCCGACGATGCCAACGAAAATAATTTAATTGTAATGATTACTATTAGTAATCGTCTCGATTTTATCATTCATTTTTTCTCCAACAGCGTTCTGCTATTACTCAAAAGGGAAAAATGCGACACGTCTACGACCTTGATAACCTCCCTAGTACCTAATTAGTTCGGCCGCTTCTGCCGTGATGTCTGGCGACGACGATGGCGTCGGCGACGCCGGCTGCAGCGCGGATTAACGGCAGTATTTCAGTCGATGGTTTTCTCCATGGTAATAAGCGAACGAGACTGCGGCAGCGAGTGTCAACAAAAACTAGTTTATTAATATGGATAGCACGTTTGGTGTAATCTACGTCTTTACCTCCGCCATGACGTCGCCGCTGCGCCGCCACGATATTCATCCGGGGTCGGTCCTGTCGTTCTTTTTGGTACGTGAGAGAAATGACACATCGAAGAAATCGTTTCCCAGATCGTTTTTTGTCGTCGATTTTTCCCTCGGACTATCTGACGGATCGATCGACCTAGTCGCTGCAAAATATTTTACAATTGATAGATGGTTTCGCTTCGGATTGTCGGATCGATCACTGTATTGAGAATGATATGTCGACCCGAAAAGTGCATTGATCTATTTCATTGACGATACGTTATCGAGTTTATGAGCTCTTCTCTCTAGTTGTTATTTCTATTTCTGGCGATCTTTGAGAAAAGCCAATGTAATGCTCAAATAATTTACCTCTTTATGTATACATGAAACATGCCTATATGAATTTTATTTTCTCAGAGTTAATCTTATTATCTGTTGTGAAATCTTTAAAAGAAATATATTATACGCATATCCTAAAAGCATTCTTTTAATATCTAGTGAAGCTTATCTTAATTATAATCTTGCTCATCATAAAATCATTATTTGTAGTCTTTAATAATATATTCCGTAATATATGCCTCTTTCACTTACTAAACAAACTTTTTGTTTACCAGTAAAATGTGCAGTTTTCAAAACTTTAAGTTTATCACAAAAATTATATTTACGTGTAAATGATCTTCGAATTATATATCATAAATTTTTGGTTTTATAATATATGTAGCAAGAAAGTATACGGATTACAATTTTTAATATTTTGCGAGAATTCTGATATATTTTATTTCTTTTTACTTTTATATATTTTATACTTTACATTTTTACATTATAATGTAACCTCGAGTTTATTTACTTTGTTCAGTTTTAAACTAAATTTAGACACAATTATATTTTTGTAATTGAAGAGCAATTCTTCGGGCAAGTTGTAAAGATCGACATCCTATGCTATATTATACGATACACGTGTGTTCTATAAGCCATAGAAGAAATTCCTGAATTGCAAATTGCAATCTAAGACAGGAAATCGTAGTTATGGAAGTAACTGGAAGGTATACGTTGCACGTATTAATGTTCCGTTGGCCAATCTGCACGTCGTTACGTTAGATAAAACTATGCAAAACTACTGCAAGAATCGTCGTTCTCTCGATAACACTAATTATAGTGAATTATGCTAATGATATTTTTTGTGGTATAACACATCCTGTATAAAACAAGATTGCTTCTACTTTAGGTAAACTAAAGCTAATAATAATTAGAAAATTATTGTGAGAGATTAAAGAAATTATAAAATTTATAATTAATAATTAAATAGGAATTAAATTTTATAATTGTATTGTACAATAAGATAACAAAAAATTTCTATTTTTACATATTCTGACTATAATCATGGAAAAACAAAGAGATTTACAACATTTATTGATTCTTGACGGTTGCTGGATGATTCGAGACCGATGGCTATTCACATTAATTTTTGAAGATTATTGGTACCTTTTCTTTACATCATAATATTGTAAAAAATTAAATTAAAAAAACGGCCGTTTTTTTTTTACTGTTTTTATATTTTACATTTATTTATAAAGCTTTTTAATTATCTATCAAGTACGAATCAAGGATATCAAGTATGAATCAATCATATGGAGATATAATTTGATAAACGCATTATCATCTATTGGATATCTATTACGAAGCACACGAAGCACATTTGCAGTTTTATTTTTAAGCAAATCCTAATTTTCAGTATTTGTTTCCATTATTTTTTAATAAGCAAGATCTGTTATTATTATAGAAAATAAAATTGAAAATTGTTACTTAAAAAAATACAACTAAAAAAATGTTATTTTCGAGGTATTATTTATGAATGAATTAAATATAAATTTATTCTATAAAGAGTGAATTAACATAACTTCACTTTCAAAATCATTACAACTTAAAAAGAACAGCTTCAACAAAAGTTATCAAAATTATCATAAGTTATCATAACTCAAAAAAGATAACTTTTAAGAGTTATAAAACAAAAATGATATTTGATCATGTTAAGAAGATATTCTTTTTGATTATTTGATTAGTCAATAATTCTCTATAAAATTGAAAAATAATTCAACTTTTTTGTGATAAACTTAATTTTTTTAGTTGTATTATTCTTTAAATATAGAGGAGCGATATTGTTAACGTTTTATTTCTTAGGTATACGTTCGATACTTAACATTTCTCTTTAACAAGAAATTGTCCTTTATTTTCACTTTGAAAACATCCAATGTGCAAATTTGATGCAGGCTATAGATTATGTACGACGTCGTGTCGCAAATATTCAATAATGAGAAATCGCACGGTGGTGCGACCAGGTTTGTAATATATTCGGTCGGTACCCGATTGAAACAGGTGCACGTGAGATCGGAGACGAGCAAAAATAACGAAAGCAGGTTCGTTTTCCCGATAAGCGTGCAGCCGGACCTACTTCTCGAGCCAGTTAGAACATCGGTCGTAGTCGGCGCCATAGCTCTGCAAGTGCCATCCACAACCGAATGCTCTCACGCCAATAAATGCTTTTAACGGCGATGCAAGGCGACGATGCGCGAGCGATCTTCTTCGGTGCGGCCCGATTCTCCTCTTTTTATCAGCTGAAACGGCGTTAATGCGAAGGCGAGCGACGAACCTCGGCCGCGACATTCCTGACTCTTTGTTCGCGGAAACGACGTGCCAGACCCAAGAAAAAGATATCCACGAGCGCGACACCGACCGTGGAATAATATTTGCAAAGCTAATCGTAATACACATGGCTACTGTACCGTCGTCTTCTCTTGACAGCGTTTTTCGCCCGCATTTCAACGTCTCACGCACAAAAAGGCATTAACACTTTATCGACTAAGTATTGATATTTTTATTTAATTAAATCGGCAGTGCGATTAATATTATGATTAACATCATTAATAAATATTCATATCGAACGTTATAAATCGATATTATTAACACAAGTAAAAGTTTATAGTTACTTTTACAGTCTTTTATATATGCAAGAATTAAATTTTATTATAATCAAAGTATCCTTCTTTGCAAACTAATATATCAACTTTATTTAGCAACAAATCATTTTTATAAATATATTGTTCTAATTACCATAAGTATATATTAAGGAAAATAAAGTAAATATAATACATACAGCGAGAAAAATGTTTGGTTGGATTAATTGGAATTCTAATTGAAAATGGACGAATCGACAAAAAATTTTTGGTTAAGTCTACTAATTGTAGCTAAGATTCTGTTTGATATAATTAGAATTTTTTGGTTCGTCCATTTTCAGATATTTTTCTCGGTGTATATGCATAAATCTAAGGAGATATTAATTCAACATTATATTTTTACTCTTTTGTTATGTAAGTTTTTGCAAATAAGTTCCTTAACAAATTTAATAGTGATTACTAATTCAACAAAAAACATATTTTATACAGTGAAGTTGCCAATTTAATAACAGGGTCATTATTAATGAAACTTTTGATTTGTCCAACTTAGCGTTACATCAAATCGGACAATTTGATATACAATAAATCTTGAACATTCTTCAATTTGTGTTGTTTCTCATTATACTTGTAATTGCGTCATCAAAAATATTATACTGAAGAGGACCCGAAACGAGGGTCGAAACGTTTATCGACTATTTTAAATTCTTATGATAAAGTTTGAATTTTTCACACACGAACACCCTGTGTTAGCTCATAAAGGTATTATCCACAGTAATTGATTTAAGGAGATATTGTTTCATAATTCACATTTCGTATCATAATTGATTATTTAATTACTATTTTATGAAATTTTTACGAGGATATTAATGATTATCTGATACAATGTCATTAAATATTAGCTGAACGTTCGTTATTACTTGATTATCGGTTATTGGCTATTAACTAAGGACTTTATTTTGCGACACTCTGAAATATTAATTTATGTTATTTTTCTGCGCGATCTGAATATAAATTATGTTTTACGGTCGTAGTGGTAAGTGCGTCGATAACACAAACTTATCTACTGCGTGCAGGCGCATCTCCAACTCTCGTTTCTCTTTTCTCAATTTTCACAAATCAAGCGATTGATCTTTCTACTTCGTCGTCATTTCCCGCTTCTACGATGATTTGCTTCTTTAAGCCACGCGTTTACGAATGTGAAGATATTACTTTATCGTTCGTAAAGTTGCAAATTAAACGGATACACGCATGAAATATTATCCGTACGCGATAATCATAGGGTAACTCAATTCGCTCAGGCAAAAACGCCACGATCGGAAGCGAGTGACGAGGCACGTAGGTGGTTACGTACGCTTGAACAAGTTTACCAGCGGACATAAAAGGTAATGCTGCGAGATAAACGCCTTCGCATGTGTCGCAATGTCGATGACTTCGTTCAGACTGAGCGAAATCCAGAAACTGTCAACAAGCATGATACGTGATTAAGATTCTTCAATGCGAAGAATGCAGAAACTGTCAACGAGCATGATACATAATTAAGATACATGATTCTTCAACTCTTGGAATAATCATTCTATTTTGAATTCCTTATTATCGAGAGAGAAATGTCATATTAAGAGTGGAAACGTAAATCAATGTGTATAGATTTGTCTCAGATATTTTATCTCTTAAAATTAACGACTTAAAATAATTATAAAGCTAAAAAAAATACTGACAATGAGCATTAAGATATATTATTATGAGAATTATTGACGTTATTATATTTTGTTTTACACAATGTTACATATTGTATATATAGGATGTTTCGGTCATTGTATTTTTAAACAGTCAATTTTCTCCTTTTCGAAATTATTGATGATAAAAAAGTGTTTCAAATAAAAGTGGAATGATTTCAAGGGGAACAGTTTGACGTATTTTGCTCACGTTGTTCTTTTTCTAGATGGAGCTAAAAAGATATGAAGGTCACATTCACTTTTTAAAATAGAATTATATGATATTTTCAATATGATTCTTTAAATTATTCTACATATAAAAATAATAAGGTAGAAATATCAAAGAATTAATAGTTTAAAAGATATTTTATACTGACAAATTTTCATATAAAATATAACGTTTCATA